AAGGTTCCCACTTTCAATCCTCCTCAGAGTGCTCTGAGAGTCTGTGACAAAGACCACATGTGCTTGTCGAGTTGTTGTGACTTATTTGAGAGCCTGAGTGATTGCCTCTTTCTCCATTCTCATGCTAGATGCTCGCCTTCTTATAAATAATCTAGATTGTGTAGACAGGGGCGTAAAAACACCTACATTAAAAAGAAGGAGATGCAACTGTACCCAATGGTAAAGGTCTATGTAAGGTCTCCCTTCTTAAGATAGCTGAAAATCGTCTTTAAACGAAGGACGTTATGGTTACCCTCCATGTTGACCCCCACAAAGACCTGGAATATGCGTAATATACGGCAGCTTGCACTGTATGCTTCCCAGGAAGTTGAGATTGTTTCATAATGCTATTAGGTCTGTCGCAGTCATAATATAGACTATAAAACGGATACAACTTCAAAGAACTAACTGTTGAGTGGGAGTTTGCGCTGTCCAAATGCTATCTCTTATTAGTAGGTCAAGTAAGGCCTTAATGGAGCCCTCAAGTCACGCTAACGGGCACAATAACGGTTTTTTTGCATCAGGGAAAGAGTAAGAACAATAGTTGTAAAGGGCATAAAACAAACTATAGAGAGTGGAGGATATACCTTTATAAATGCTATAATAATAATAATTATTATTATTATGAGACAGAAGTACAGAAACACAAGAGAGAAAAAGGACAAATAGGAGCTAACCAATGGCGCTCACAAACCACCCGCGAGAATTTGTACAATGTTTAGAGTTTGGCGTGAACCAAGCAACCATTCAGATGGCTGCTATTTCTATATTGTCCACAATCATTATGAAAAGAACTTAAGGGAAATTGGAAAAGGAAAGTTGATTATCCTGAGATTCCATAATATGCTCTATGCCTAGTACCACATAACGAGGGTTTACCAATTCCTGTAACTCCAGAGTCAATAACTATGGAATTGAACAAAAGGAAAACAAAAACAAAACTGTTTTACACATGAAGAACAGACTAAAGCCTCAGCATTAAAGCCACCCTGGTTTTCACTCAAAGTTTCTCGAAAGAATATGCAATACGATCACGCAAAATAATCTGAATGTCGTCCTCGAAGAAGTAGAGCTGTCAAAAGGCAAATCTGAATTAATTGTTAGGCTACAGGCTCAAGCAATGGAGTTTGCCTAATATTGGTGGGAAAACCTAGATATCTTAAAAGCTAGACCCAAACATCAAATTCCACTATCATTTTCGTGTTCAACACCGGAAAATTCACATCAATAAAATAAAAAAGTGAAGTGATGTTTGAGCCCCGACGCAGAAACGTTATCAATGTTGTGACCACACCTTCCACGGAAAAATATTAGTGGGGAATATGAATAATATGCAAACATATTTGAATAAGATGAAGAGGTCATAGCTTCGAATATAATGATGCGACTTATACATTCAAATAATATGACGAGGCCATATATATCTTCGATGACTTCGATGAATTATTTGAGTGATTTATAAATTAATGATGGCTTACCTTTGAATAAACTTATAACCTCAGACTTCCCAGCATTCAACGTTTTCAAGGGAACAGAGATTGAGGAGCATAATATCTTAACTCGGGTCGGTAGCAAGCGTAGTCATTTCAGAGCCAACAAAAACAACAAGAGTAACAACAGCAACAACACCACCAACAACAACAACAGCAACAACAACAAAAGGTTTAAAAAATGATAACAGTAAGAACAAGGGCAACAACAAAAATAACCTCAATACCAAAAAATAACAAAGTCAACAAAATCCAAAGATTAGGATATAGCACGACAACTGAATAAGAATACCAACCCATATCCGTCAAGCACCCCC